ACAGGATTTGAAATAGATGAAAGACTCTTGGAAAGCATCGGTTCTGGAAAATTGCCTAAAAACAAATGTTATACTTGTCATTTTAGTTAAAAAAAAATGAGCAAAAGCACTAAATCCTCCCCAAAATGTAAGGTTGTACCAGATACACTTCATCATGTTTTTCACAACTTTCTACAAACAATTTTGGCACATATGACAAGCACCGTATGTTATTACATCTATCTTTTGTAGTACTATTTTGCAAAAACATAATGTCAGCATGCTATTATTAAGTGATACCAAAGGATCACGGAATTTTAGTGATGTCAGGGTCTTTAAAAACCAAGCTATTTTTACAGACTATGTCACTAAGGCCTAGAATACATAAAGACACAGATGTGGGACTAGAACGTAGTTTCTGGCTCCCATCTACTATTTTTCTCACTGGATTTAATCGAATTTTAAAGTATATTTGCCCCTGCTTTATACTTTACACTAAGTGTTATGTGGAATACAGACCAGTGTAAGTCCAGTGTCTTCCCTTACGCCTCATCTCAGAAAGACAAGCCACACTTGAGTCAAGGTGGTAACGGATGGTTAAATGAGCAGCACAGGGAAAGAGTTCTACAAGCCTCCTTCAAGTGCTGAGTCAGATGCCAGCTCCAGGTGGCATCTGACTCAGCACTTGGAAGGAGGCTTGTAGAACTCTTTCCCTGTGCTGCTCGTTTCTGGGATAGCCAGTAAGTTCTGTCAAACCTCCGGTTTAAAGATTTCCTGGTCGTGTAGACATTTACACAGGATTTCTCTCTCCACAAATCGTAAACCTTGCTAATAATATCTTCCTGACTCCTGAGTAGTTTTAAGGTCTTTTACATGAACCTTTCTCTGTTCTTTCTTTCCCTCTTTGTAGGAGAGGTAAACCCAGGATCGTAAAGAACTGACTCACTGTCACAAATGAAAAAAGCCGTACCTGTCACTGGTGTAACCTTGGATGCCATCTTGGACAGGCTGTAACTTTCTGAGAAACATCCTGTGGGTGTAGTTACCATCTGTGTCGCTGGTTGAACCGGCAGGTTCTTTTTCAGCATCTGGGCAAAACTGGGGACCTGCGAACTCTGAAACCAATTGTTGCTAGCCATTTTCGCACCTAGAAGTCACGATTAAATTGGCAGAAAACAAAACACTACGTAAACAAGAAATATTTACCCCAAACCCCGCCCCTCCCCGTATTTCCATAAATGGCCTTGGCACACATCAGATGACTACAGCCAAATCCCTCTTGAACTGATTTCATGACTGCTTTTGAGTTTTCATAGACACAGATCTCCTCCTCTCCTGAATTCCTTCCCTAAACCTCTGCTACAAAGAGGAAAAGAAGGAACAGAGAGATGTCTGTGTAAAAGACCTTAAAACTACTCAGGAGTCAGGAAGATATTATCAGCAAAGCCAGGGAAAAAGAGAAAAAAGAGGAAAAAAAAAAGCTCGTTGGTGGCCTCCTAAGTCCTGACCCAACCCACACCCACCGAAATTTTCCTTCCTGCCCTTTATGTGGGTAGGCAGGCAACTGCTGCCGCACCTCAGGCCGGGGACTCGCAGGCAGCCGCCACCTCCGCCGCCGCCGCCGTCGTTGCTCCCACCTCCCGGCTTCAACTTCTCACTTCAGGACACTCTGCGCGAGAGCCACAGGATCAGGGCCGCATTTTTCAAAACAGGCCTCGCGATGCCCCTGCAGGACCCGGGCCTGCGCCCCCGCTCCCTGCTTCGTCCAATCACTAACCGTCTTGGAGGGCAGTGCGCCTGCGCCTGCGCCAGCGTCAGCGTCCTGACGCCGCGCTCCGCGTCTTGCGTCGCCTAGGGAAGAAACGCCGAATGTCGCACGCGTTCGAGGCACAGGTGACGTCGACTCTGTTCTCGGAACACAAGGACCGGGTCCACCTGACCGCATTCCCCCTCTGGAGAAGCCAGGTAAAATCGCGCAGTTCGGCCTCTTCCTTACTGTTCTGTGTCCCCTGCACCCTTCAGGAATGATTGTTTCTTCTGTAGTTGTCTGTGCCTGGGGCCTCCTTCCACAGATTGCTTGAAGGCTGCTCGAGGGGTACCTGCGTGAGGGTGGTTTCGAGAAAACCCATCACTTCATCCCTACTCGCAATCTGAGAAGGCGCCCATGGGGAAGGCTTGGCCTCCACGGTGGCCTTCCTGTTTACGGAAAAATCTCACATGTCCTGAAGCTTGGCCAGTGAGCGAACAATTCTGAAAGCAGGTGTGGTCTTTGAGAGCAAATGGCTCTGCTATCCGGATGAGAAATTCAGTGTGGATATTTTCAATTATTTGCTCTCCTAAAGGTTGAAGGAGGCCCTAATTGAGGTGTTAGGTGATAGATCGTGGAAAATAAGAATACTGTCACCCAACAAATGTCTGCATGTAAACAAAAAGTAATCCAAAGCATTGAGTGACTTCATTATAACAAAATTTCAGTGTTCATCTACCTTTTTATAGGGACCAGTGTTCTCAATAATTAAGTCAGATGTAAACCTCTTAAAAAAAAAAAAAAAAAAACCCAGGCATGGTGGTGGGCACTGGTAGTCCCAGATACTGGAGAGGCTGAAGCAGGAGGGCCAGTTGAGCCCAGGAGTTCAAGTACAGCCTGAGCAACATAATGAGACTACCATCTCTCTCTCTTTTTTTTTTTTTTTGAGATGGAGTCTTGCTCTGTCACCAGGCTGGAATGCAGTGGCACAATCTCGGCTTACTGCAACCTCCGCCTCCTGGGTTGAAATGATTCTTCCACCTCGGCCTCCGGAGTAGCTGGGACTACCGGCGCGTGTCACCACACCTAGCTAATTTTTTTGTATTTTTAGTAGAGACGGGGTTTCACCGTGTTGGCCAGGATGGTCTCAATCTCTTGACCTCGTGATCCGCCTGCATCAGCCTCCCAAAGTGCTGGGATTACAGGTGTCATCTCTTTAAAAAAAAAAAAAAAAAAAAAAAAAAAAAAAAAAAGGAAAAGAACAAATAGAAGTAATATGCATCCAGAAATATATGGGCTGATAGGAAGAAAATGTCCTATCCCCTCGTTAAGCAATGCATTTTAAATAAAAGTATTTTTCTTTAGTGGCTATTAAAATGTGTGTTGATTATTTTGTGTTGATCAAGTGCCCATTAACAATCTCAATGATAATTTAGAATTTTTTAAATGAACATGTAGAGACCTCTGGTTACAGGAAATTAAAAGTTCAAATGTCAAAAAGTAAAAGGATGATAATACAACTTCTAAGTACATTAGAATCAAATTTGAGGGCATACATGGAATGGAAATAAAAGCTCATTGAGTGAAAGGAATGAGGTACAAAGTTCTCTACTGCACACACAAATGTAATATATAAATTCTGCTTTATTTTGAAGTAATTTTAGATTTATGAAAGAATTACAAAGATAGTACAGTCTTTCCATTCCTTCCATCCACTTTCCCATAATGTTATCTTATATTAACTGTCAAGACAAAGAAATCAGGGTTTCAAAGAATTAAGGTTAGTTTTATTCAGAGTCTTACTGAGGATTGCAGGAGAGTCTTTCAGAGAGTTTCTGTTACACTGCACCAAGGCAGTGTTTCAGCACATATTTTATGTATCAGGTGATGTGGATGTTCTGCATGTGCTCAGAAGTTACAGTAGAGCAAAATCTCATCGAAGTTTGGGTGGGAGAGGAGTACATTGGTTATGGATTACAGAGGCATAATAATTATTACTGTCAGACATTATCTCATATATAGGAAAAGACAAAAGCTAGGATTATTGAACTTCTTTTCTAAAAATGCAGTGATTCGGACAAGAGACATGGGAACCTGTCGTTATCATCTTCAGGGCATTCTTCTGGCTGCACTCAGTCAGTGAGTCAGGGAGTTGTGAAGTCATGCTCACAAGCAGTGAGCAAACATGGCTTCTTCACAGCAAGGGTGAACTCTGGCTGCCAGAGGCAGATGTTTGCTACTTTGTCTCACATAACTGTGGCACATTCATGAAAACTAATAAATTAAGATTATACTAATTATACAACACACTTAATTTGGATTTCACCAGTTTTTCAACCAATGTCCATTTTCTGTTTCAGGATTCAGTTTGCCATTGCATGTAGTGGTCATATCTCCTAAGTATCACATGGTCTGTGGTAGTTTTTCAGCCCTTCTTTATTTTTCATAACCTAGATAATTTTGAAGAGTGCAGGTCAGGTATTTTGTAGAATGGCTGTCGATTTGGGTCTGCCTGATGTTTTCTCATGACTACACAGAGTTACGTTATTTGGGAAGAATACTACATAGATGAAGTTCTCTTCCCAGGGCATATTAGGGAATTCCTAATAACGATTATAACTGGTGATGCTGACTTTGGTGAATTGGTTAATGTTGTGTCTGCCTGGTTTCTCCACCATACAATTTCTGTTTTCCCTTTTCTACTCTCTATTTGTTAAAAGGTTCACCTCTTGGAGAGAGGAGTATCACAGAATTTGTGGGCATATGTTCATATCACATATTAATAAATATTTGGGGGGGAATAGTTTAAGGCTATGTATATGCACTGTTTTACCCACTCATTTTAGCATTCATCTTTGGAGTTTTGCCCAAAGCAGTTATTATTGTGGTGTTCTAATGATTCTTTTCAATTTCCCTAGTTCTTTTTACATTTATTATTTGGAATTATGTAAGAAAGACTTGTCCCTTTTCTTTATGTTTATTCAGTTATTTGATTATATAACTATGGAGGCATAGGTATTTATTTTGTCATTTGAGTATAATCCAATACTGTCATTGTATTTTAGTTTAGTTTAGTTTGAGACAGGGTCTTACTTTGTCATCCAGGCTGGAGTGCAGTAGTATGATCATGGCTCATTGCAGCCTCCGTCATCTGGGCTCAAGCAATCCTTTCACCTCAGCCTCCTGAGTAGTTGGAACTGCAGGCATGCATGACTATGCCCAGCTATTATTTGTATTATTATTATTATTATTTTGTAGAGACAGGGTTTCGCCATATAACCCAAGCTGGTCTCAAACTCCAGGACTGAAGCAGTCCACATGTCTGGGCTTCCCAAAGTGCTGGGATTGTAGGCATGAACCACCGCGGTTGACACTACCATTATTATTTTGTTACTCAAATTATTCCAGCTTTGGTTGTTGTTAACTATTTCAGATTGGCCCTGTGTCCTCTTGACATGTCCTTTTATGTGTTTTTTTTTTTTTTTTTTAAGTATTTTTCCTGCCCCACATCTAACAAGAAGCTGTGGTTACTTTTTCAGGAGGCTGGTATTTAGAAACTAAGCTCTAAGCATTAGAAGTGCTTATTCCTACTAGGTGTCATTGCTTCTATGCCTGCACAGAGAACAGAGCTAGGAAATATATTTGTATATACTAACCCCTGTATACAGACACATCTATATTTCTATATATAAACAAATTTGTACTTATACCTTTGACTATAATCTGACACCCCAGCATTCATTCCTGCTTTCCCCTTATCTGTGATTTCTTTCCCTGACAATGAGAAATCTGCAATATCTAAAATGTATTTTATTTTTCAGTGTAAAGTAGATACATACTGGTTAACTTGTACCTTTGTGAGAAACGAATTCACCACCAAGAAGAATTTAGTATTTATTTCTTTGATTTTTATTTCTTTAACCCTATTGACCAGGATATTTCTTTCATTTTTTCCTTTATGCTTACATTATATAGTTAAAACAGTTTCCCAAAGTTACTTAGGTTTGTTATTTGTTTATAGTTCTATGGGTTTTGACAAATACATGGTCATATATCCACCACTACAGTACTGTTGTGCAGAACAGTTTCATCATCCTCAAATTTCCCTCTTGTTGTCATTTTGTAGTTAACCCTTCTTCCCTCTCATAACTCCTGGAAACCATTGATCTGTTTTCTGTTTCTACAGTTTTTCCTTTTCGATAATGCCATATAAATTGCATCATAAAATACGTAATATTTTGGATCTGGCTTCTTTCACTTAGAAAAGCACATTTAAGATTCATCTATGTTGTTGAGTGAATCAATAGCTTCTTCCTTTTTATTGCAGAATAATATTCCATTGTACCACTGTTTATATGTTCACCTGTTCAAGTATATCTTGGTTGTTTCCAGTTTGAGGCAATTATGAATACAGCTGCTATAAACATTTGTGTAAATAAATTTTCAATTGATTTGGGCAAGTACTTAGGAATGGTATTGCAGGGTCGTATAGTAAGTGTATGTTTAAATTTGTAAGAAACTTCTAAACTTTTCCAGGGTGATTGTATCATTTTTGCATTCTGACATGGATGTTGGCAGAATTTCACTGCTGGATATTCTTCCCTGTTCATTCAGTGCCACAGGGGAAAGCTTACTCTGGATTCATCTTTGAGCACCTGTGTCCTCTATGTCTCCCGAGGAATAAAAACCTTTATCTGCAGAGTGAAGGGCAACAGATGGCCATAGGAACATCCGGCCAAGTGTTCCTATGCCTGTCTCTTTCCAGATTTCAAGTTAATTTTTTGTGCTATGACCTTGTTTACTTATGGGTTCAAGAAAATTTGTTTGTTTATGATTTGTCTAGCTTTTTTATTGTTCTGAGCATGGGCACAGTGCTTTTACCATCTCTCTACCTTTTCAAGTTGTTCATATGTCTTTAAATGAGTGATGGTGGCCCCCACATCTCTAGGATACTTAGATTCAACTGGATACATTAAACTGAATGATAAATCAAGATGTATTTAAGCATCATTACTTTCAGTATGCCAGAAATTACATCCTTTGCAACTAATTAAACTTAGGCTGGAAAAAATACATCAACTTTAAAATACGTAAAATGTTATGAATAGTTTTTAAGAATTAGACAAAAAACAAGGGACATGTTTGAAAACCAGTGCTTAATTAGATAGGGAGAAAGGTGGGACATTACTCATGTTTTCTCACCCTATTTCATTCACTGGGCTGTTTATTCTAAAGGAATGCATTCCTGCTGGCATCACCCTTTAAGTCAGAGTTACTTACTAGGGTGGAGGAATGACACATTCACCTCATGCTCAAACTTGAAGGGTGTGTCAAAATACTCAGTAATTCAGATAAATATTTTATTGCAGTATTTAAAAAAATCAAAATTCATGCCAAAAGTTTGATTAACAGTATGTCAGAATTTCAAATAAAGATAGCATTTAACCCTGTACTTGTACTAATTCCAAGCTGAAACCTTAAGTCTTTTGTTCTTAGGTTTTTAAATGAATGATTTTGGGTCTCAAATCCCTAGGATACTCTCAATGGATACATTTACAAACAATGATATAACTCCCTAATCTCTTCACCCTAATTCTGGCACTGCTGCAAGATATGATGAAGAAAGGGAACTACCATTTTTAAGCTATTATTTTATGGAAACTATACATCTGCTTTGTGAAGTCTATTTTAACTGTTTATTGTCAAAGTCTTGCTCAGCATATATCGGAGCAGGTATTCAAATTCAGGTCTGCCATCGAAGCCAAACCTTTTCATCAAAGCAAATGTGTAGAATGGTGGCGATCCTTTGGAGTTAAGCCCTTCTGGTGCAAGGGAACTCCCAAAAGATTTGTAGAACCGTAAAACATGCCCAACATCACCAAACATTTTAAGTAGGGATTATTGCCCATGCTGCTTTGCTAGGTGCTAAATAGAGTTATTCACATATGGTAGCTGTAATTAAGTAACCTATATCCTTGATGACTCTAATAATGCAAATCATGTCAAGAATATGACACAAGGCCCGGCACAGTGACTCATGCCTGTAATCCTATTACTTTGGGAGGTCGAGGCAGGTGGATCACTTGAGTTCAGGAGTTCAAGATCAGCCTGGCCAATATGATGAAACCCCATCTCTACTAAAAATACAAATATTGGCTGAGCATGATGGAACGTTTCTGTAATCCCACCTACTCAGTAGGCTGAGGCAGGAGAATTGCTTGAACCCAGGAGGTAGAGGCTGTAGTAAGCTGAGATTTTGCCACTACATTCCAGCCTGGGCAATAGCAAGATGCTGTCTTAAAAAAATTAAATGCATTATAAAATGTTTGGTACAGAAATAAGAATGAATCTTTGGTGGCAGAGAGAAGCTCCTTTAAAAAAATCTTTCATAATCTTTTTTTTTTAATTTTTTTTCCAAGAAAAAAAAAGAGAAAGAAAAAAGGAATGAAGAAGAGGAAGAAAGAGGAAGAAGAAGAGGGAGAGAGAATGGGGGTGTTGCTTTATTGCCCAGGCTAGAATGCAGTCTGAAAATGGGTATAGAAAACCTCCTTTATGCCATTAATTGTGCTTAATAATGGCCAACCAGTATTTCATTTAAACCTATGAGTAGGTGTGATCTGGTACTGATAAGAGTATATATTTTGTGTATTTAAGTGGAGAGTTCTATAAATGTTTATTAAGTTTACTTGTTCCAGATCTGAGTTCAAGTCCTGGATATCCTTATTAATTTTCTGTCTCCTTGATCTATCTAATATTGATGTTGAAGTCTCCCACTATTATTGTGTATTTTAAAAAAATCTTTCATAATCTTTGTTACTATACTTCATATATTTAAAATTTGACCTTGCTACCTTAAGTGTTACAACTCTGATGTAAACAACCATTTATTACTACAGTCGCCTCTTCTCTTCCATTTATTACTGCAGTCACCTCCTAACTGGTTTCCTGTTTTGCTGTATGCTTCCATCCCTCTACTCTCTCCCATCTAAACTCTCTTTTCCTTACTGTAGCCAAAGCAGCTTACAATCATGGGGGGATGTTGAAGGGGAAGCAAGCATGTTTGTCTTTACATGGTGTCAGAAGAGAGGGTAAAGGGGAAAGTGCTACACACTTAAAAAGAAAAATCTCCTGAAAACCCATTATTACAAGAACAGCAAGGGAGAAATATGCTCCCATAATCCAGTGACCTCCCACCAGGACTCTCCCCCAACATTGGGAATTATAATTCAACATGAGATTTGGGTGGATACACAGAGTCAAAGCATATTAAAAGGTAGGTTAAAACATAGCCCTGATCTTGGAGCTTACAGTAAAATAAAGAATAAATGACATGTTTAGAAAATGGCCAGTCTTTCAGTTGGGCCAGAATGTTTATTAGCTTATACATTCCGCCTGACCCCTGTCAGGTTTATTAAATACATAGTGCCCTATTCTATTTTGTTTTAGCCACACATGTTAAGTTTGGCATGTGAAGGCTGGAGAGATATGTATGATGTTTTAGTTCTTATTTTAAAAATATGATTAAAATTTTCATACTGCCACAGCCTGATAATTTTGGTTGATGTTTATCCAATTTAGGCTCTGGGACAGATATTTCACAAAATTTGCATTACAGCTTCTAGTGAGTTATATTGTAAAATAACCTATTTAGTAGTTTAGTGTTTAAGATGTTTTAGTGTAATTTAAATATATTTAATATTTCAAGACCACACTGAATGTTGCTTCTGCATTGGTTTTAGTAAAATGCCTCAGATTCGATACCATATATTATCTATTAGCAAATAATTGTTTAGTGGATATATGAAAATATAACAAATTTTAAATACTTCCTTCCACATATTTCTGAATACTGATGTAAATTTAACTAAACATCAAATGGCCTAAACTATACTGTGTGAGTTGCAGGATATTTTGGCAACTGCTGAACTATAGTACTCTCATCTTTTTAGGATGTGACTCTTCCTTATGATTTGGCAAGGAAATTGGCAGTTGGGCATGTTAGTGAATTCTTCATCTCAGTACATGATATTCAGTTGCTCATTAACTCAGTTGTTCAAGCCAGAACCTCAGGAGCAAGGCCAAAGTATAAGGTTGTGAACAAGAACACCAAGCCAAGGTGGTGAGTGGCGCTGAAGTACAGCTTTACTCTGCTAAGAGAGACATGTACCTTGGTTTGGGGCTTTTTTGGCTTGAGGAATGGATACTCTTCCTAATTCTTACCTAATTAATGTAAGTTATCTGACCCTGCCCAGGAATTACCCTTGACTCTTTTCTTTTCCCTGAACTCCCATTCCATCGTTTAATTCTGTTGGCTGTCTCCATTACATTGCCTAAAAGAGATCACTTCTTACCGCTTTCACTGCTGCCACCCTAGTCCAAACAACTCTTACCTTTTCCTGGGATTTCTGTGATAGCTTATAACAGGTCTTCCTGCTTCCTATTCTTGCTTCTCTTAACCATCCAGTAAATTTTCCCCATTTTACTTTTATAAGACAAGTGTAATTTTGTTACATGGATATATTGCATAGTGATATAGTTAGGGCTTTTAATGTATCCATCACCCAAATACCATACATTGTATCCATTAAGCAATTAGAAAATATCATTCTCCCCAGGCCCCTACCCTTGAGTTTCCATTGTCTATCCATTCCACACTCTGTGTCCATGTGTATACATTATTTAGATCCTGCTTGTAAGTGAGAAGATGTAGTATTTGTCTATTTCTGAGTTATTTCACTTAATGGCCTCCAGTTCCATCCATGTTGCTGCAGGTATGATTCAGTTTTTTTTTTTTTTATGGCTGAGTAGTGTTCCATTGTGTGTATATACATTTCCTTTTTTTAAAATTGTACTTTAAGTTCTGGGGTACATGTAAAGAACATGGAGGTTTGTTACATAGGTATACACATGTCATAGTGGTTGGTTGCATCTATCACCACGTCATCTACATTAGGTATTTCTCCTAATGCTATCCCTCCCCTAACCCCCCACCCGCCGACAGGCCCTGGTATGTGATGCCACCCTTCCTGTGTCCATGAGTTCTAATTGTTCAACTCCCACTTATGAGTGAGAACATGCGGTGTTTGGTTGTCTGTTCTTGTGTTAGTTTGCTGAGAATGATGGTTTCCAGCTCCATCTATGTCCCTGGAAAGGACATGAACTCATCCTTTTTTTTTTTTTTTTTTACAGCTGCATAGTATTTCATAGTACGTATGTGCCACATTTTCTTTATCCAGTCTACCATTGATGGGCATTTTGTTTGGTTCCAAGTCTTTGCTATTGTGAACAGTGCTGCAATAAACATATGTGTGCATGTGTCCTTGTAATAGAATGATTTATAATTTTTTGGGTATATACCCAGTAATGGGACTGCTGGGACAAATGGTATTTCTGTTTCAAAATCCTTGAGGAATTGCCACAATGTCTTCCACAATGGTTGAACTGATTTACACTTTCACCAACAGTGTAAAAGCATTTCTATTTCTCTACATCCTCTCTAGTATCTGTTGTTTCCTGACCTTTTAATGATCACCATTCTAACTGGCATGAGATGGTATCTCAGTGTAGTTTCAATTTACATTTCTCTAATGACCATTGATGATGAGCTTTTCTTCATATGTTGGTTGGCTGCATAAATGTCTCATTTTGAGAAGTGTCAGTTCATATCCTTTGCCCACTTTTTGATGGGTTTATTTTTTTCCTGTAAAATTCTTTAAGTCCTTTTTAGATTCTGGATATTAGCCCTTTGTCAGATGGGTGGTAGACTGCAAAAATTTTCTCCCATAGGTTGCTTCTTCACTCTGATGATAGTTTCTTTTGCTGTGCAGAAGAGCTTTAGTTTAGTTAGATCCCGTTTTTCTATTTTGGCTTTTTTTGCCATTGCTTTTGATTTATTAGTCATGATGTCTTTGCCCATACCTATGTCCTGAATGGTATTGCCTATATTTTCTTCTTGGGTTTTTATGGTATTAGGTCTTACCTTTAAATCTTTAATTCATCTTGAGTTAATTTTTGTATAAGGTGTAAGGAAGGGATCCAGTTTCAGCTTTCTGCATATGACTTAGTTTTCCCAATACCATTTATTAAATAGAGAGTCCTATCTTCATTGTTTGTTTTTGTCAGTTTTGTCAAAGATCAGATGGTTGTAGATGTATGGCATTATTTCTGAGGTCTCTGTTCTGTTCCTTTGGTCTATAGATCTGTTTTGGTACAGGACCATGCTGATTTAGTTACTGTAGCCTTATAGTATTGTTTGAAGTCAGATAGCATGATGCCTCTACCTTTGTTCTTTTTGCTTAGGTTTGTCTTGGCTATGTGGGCTCTTTTTTGGTTTTATATGAAATTTAAGGTGGCTTTTTCCAATTCTGTGAAGGAAGTCAGTGGTAGCTTGATGGGGGATAGCATTGAACCTATAAATTAATTACTTTGGGAAGTATGGCCATTTTCACTATATTGATTCTTCCTATACGTGAGCATGGAATGTTTTTTTCATTTGTTTATGTCTTTTCTTATTTCCTTGAGCAGTGGTTTCTAGTTCTTCTTGAAGAGGTCCTTCACGTGCCTTGTATGTTGTACTTCCAGGTATTTAATTCTCTTTGTAGCCATTGTGATATGGAGTTCACTCATGATTTGTCTCTGTCTGTTAATTAGTCTATGGGAATGCTTGTAATTTTTGCACATGGATTTTGTATACTGAGACTTTGCTGAAGTTGCTTATCAGCTTAAGGAGATTTTGGGTTCAGACACTGGGGTCTTCTAAGTATACAATCATGTCATCTGCAAACAGACAATTTGACTTCCTCTTGTCCTATTTGAATACCCCTTGTTTCTTTCTCTTTCTTGATTGGCTGGGCCAGAACTTCAATACTATGTTGAATAGGAGTGGTGAGAGAGGACATCCTTGTGTTGTGCCAGTTTTCAAAAGGAATGCTTCCAGTTTTTGCCTGTTCAGTATGATATTGGCTGTGGGTTTGTCATAAATAGCTCTTACTATCTTGAGATATGTTCCATCAATACCTAGTTTATTGAGACTTCTTAGCATGAAGAGTTGTTGAATTTTGTTGAAGGCCTTTTCTGCATCTATTGAGATAATCATATGGTTTTGTGTTTGGTTCTGTTTATGTAATGGATTACATTTATTGATTTGTGTAAGTTGAAACAGCTTTATATCCCACAGTTGAAGCCAACTGGATCATGATGGATAAGCTTCTTGATGCGCTGTTGGATTTGATTTGCCAGTATTTTGTTGAGGATTTTTGCACTGATGTTCATCAGGAATATTGGCCTGAAATTTTCTTTTTTAGCTGTGTCTCTGTCAAGTATTGGTATCAGGATGATGTTAGGCTCATAAAATGAGTTAGGGAGGATTCCTTCTTTTTCTATTGTTTCAGATAGTTTAGGAAGGAATATTGCCAGCTCCTCTTTGTACCTCTGGCAGAATTAGGCTGTGAAACCATGTGGTCCTGGACTTGTTTTGGTTGGTAAGCTATTAATTGCTGCCTCAATTTGAGACCTTGTTATTGGTCTATTCAGGGATTTGACTTCTTTCTGGTTTAGTCTTGGGAGGGTGTGAGTGTCTTGGAATTTATCCATTTCTTCTAGATTTTCTGTTTTATTTGCACAGAGGTGTTTATAGCATTCTCCGATGGTAGTTTGTATTTCTATGGAATCAGTGGTGATATTGCCTTTATCATTTTTTAGTGTATCTATTTTATTCTTCTCTGTTTTATTCTTTATTAGTCTGGCTAGCAGTCTATTTCATTGATCTTTGTTCAAACAATTGCTGCTGGATTCATTGATATTTTTGAAGGTTTTTTTGTGGTCTGTATCTCCTTTAGTTTTGCCCTGATCTTAGGCTATTTCTTGTCTTCTGCTGGCTTTTGAATTTGTTTGTTCTTGCTTCTCTAGTTCTTTTAATATTGACTCTAGGGTTTCGATTTTAGATCTTTCCTGCTTTCCCTTTTGGGCATCTAGTGCTATAAATTTTCCTCTACACACATCTTTAAATGTGTTCCAGAGATTCTGGTACATGTATCTTTGTTCTCATTGGTTTTAAAGAATGTCTTTATTTCTGCCTTCATTCCATTATTTATCCAGTAGTCATTCAGGAGCAGGTTGTTCACTTTCCATGTAGTTGTGCAGTTTTAGATGAGTTTCTTAATCCTGAGTTCTAATTTGATTGCACTGTGGTCTAAGAGACTGTTACGATTTCCGTTCTTTTGCATTTGCTGAAGAGTGTTTTATTTCCAATTATGTGGTCAGTTTTAGAATAGTTCCATTGTGGTGCTGAGAAGAATGTATATTCTGTTGATTTGGGGTTGAAGGTTCTGTAGATGTTTATTAGGTCCACTTGTTCCACAGCTGAGTTCAAGTCCTGGATATCCTTGTTAATTTTATGTCTCATGGATCTCCCACTATTATTACGTTGCCATCTAAGTCTCTTTGTGGGTCTCTATGAACTTGATGTATGAATCTGGGTGCTCCTGCATTGGTGCATATTTATTTAGGATAGTTAGCTCTTCTTGTTGTATCAATCTCTTTACCATTATGTGTAATGCCCTTCTTTGTCTCATTTGATCTTTGATTGTTTAAAGTGTGTTTTACCAGAGACTAGGATTGCAACCCCTGCTTTTTTTGCTCTCTATTTGCTTGGTAAGTATTCCTCCATCCCTTTATTTTGAGCTTATGTGTGTCTTTGCATGTGAGATGGGTCTCCTGAATACAGTATGCTGATGGGTCTTGACTCTTTATCCAATTTGTCAGTCTGTGTCTTTTAATTGTGGCATTTAGCCCATTTACATTTAAGGTTAATATTGTTACGTGTGAATTTGATCCTGCCATTATGATGGCTAGCTGGTTATTTTGCCTGTTGGTTGATGCAGTTTCTTCCTAGCATCATGGGTCTTTACAATTTGGTATATTTTTGCAGTGGCTTTTACCAGTTGTTCCATTGCTTCCTTCAGGAGCTCTTGCTGGGCAGGCCTGGTGGTGACAAATCTCTCAGCATTTGCTTGTCTGTAAAGGATTTTATTTATCCTTCATTTATGAAGCTTAGTTTGGCTGGATATGAAACTCTGGGCTGAGTATTCTTTAAGAATGTTGAATATTGGCCCCCACTCT